TTCATAATTTCGATATTCTTTAGATTGTAGGAATTGTGCCTTGTAAAATAATTGCCAAGGAAATGTGCAAGATATGGTTTTTTCATCTTACCTTTTTTCAGGAAAATAACTGTCCTTTACACGAGTACTCATCAGATACTCTTTAAAATATTAGAGTATTTACTTCCCTGTTAATTCCTTTTCACGGTATGTTTATGTTCTTTTAATCAATCAATTAATTAATTATTAATTATTTTAATACACTGAATATCTGATTTGCACGTAGCATCATATTAATGCTCCATCTAAGAGCATACCGCATTCTATTAATGCATCGATTAAAAACATCGAAATGATGTGAAGAAAATGTAATTTATAAAAGAAATCCTTGCTTCTAGTATCTTTCTGTAGCTCGAGTTTACAGATTTGTATGTTTCCATTCTTTGTCGTTGGCCCCATCACTATCGACGAGTATAAAAAATAAGTCGAACACCATGAAACTCCCACAAGCCAATGCAACCCTTAACTGGTAAGGTGGAAATCTTATTACTTATTACAGAACTAGCTGTTTTGCATTACCATGCAAGAAAACATTGAAATAAAGAAGCATATCCTTAACACGGGTACCCAGAGCCCATTTCTAAAGTTTCTTTCACAATTTTTTATGTTCTTGTCTAAAACCGCACTTGGGATGTTATAGGAAGGGAAAACTAAAAGCTTCGGGAAAGTATGAAAGTAAAATTATCTATGTTTATCTAATCTGTCAAAATAATAGTATTCCGATTGCTCAATAACCATGAACATTTTGGTTGCACAGACAAGGGTTAAATAACTATTGAATAAATAAAACATTCTAAAAATATTTATGGGCTTCTTCAGACCACACCTCATCAGTTAAGGATTAAATAGCTAAATTTAGGTGTGCGCGTAACCCTCTTTTGTCGACGCTCGAAGAAACGCTTGTTTTCGTCGAATATTCGAGCGAAAGATCGAAGACAACGATTTTTATTCGGGAACTCCCTTCCGGCGCCGGCGTCGAGTTCGGCCGAATATCGATCCGCTGGATCTTTCTAACGAGACAGAGGAAAAAGACGAGCAAGAGGGTCCAAAAGAGAGAGAAAAAAAGAGTTATGCTTGCCCGACTGATGCAATCGATCGTCCATTAAACGAGTTTCAAGGCCCCTTTAGTCCCGTAACTGCAAGAACGAGCGCGATCGAACACCTCTTTGCGCAACCAACGGCCCCTACAAGAGTTAATTATTGTTGCTCGTTTGCGATTAACAATTATGCGAGTGAAGCGTTTCCTTGGCAAGGACGCGGCATAACCACCGGCCGATAGTGTATCCTCTTAATCCTGCTCGGCGCGACGAGAACCGTTTTATTTATAGAAGACGGGACCGCCGATTAATCTGCCGTCTATCGCGACTTCTTCGAGCCCCTCCTCGTCCCTCTACTTCATTTATTTTTATAGCTTATCTCACCGAAGATAGTACCTTTGTTCTATCAGGCACGAGCGTGCCTGAGGCCGTGTAATTGCGATCAATCGATCAATCACCATCGGCCGGATCGTCTTTTTCTACATTTCTTTACTATCGCGGCTGCTGCTGAGCGAGCCTCTGGGGACGGATTAGCTTCGGATATGATTATTGACATTGGTTGAAACCAGCCTTTCTTTGGAGCGGTTATGTGTGAACGGTTTCTTTATTAACTTTATGAAATGCTTTTGATACGTTGTAGCTACTTTTGTTTATTGTTTATTATTTGGTTAATGTAGGTTAAAAGTTTATATAAATTTTGCAGTGTAGTGTGCAGATCAGGCCAACTTTTCTGGGGCGACATCGCCCCATTTCCATTTTAGTGTCACTACCCACCGCAGATTCACCGTTCTCATAACGTAGAGGTCGCTAAAATCACAGGCTTTTTAAGGTGTCAGTAAGGTAAATGTCCCAGTGGTTGGACGTTTAAGGCGAAGATTGCGGTTACGAAGACTTTTTATATGTAAAAATAATATAGATTGGCAAAAACTACATTCAATCGATAGAGCAGAAATTCTTCTTTCAGACAAGTCGTTATATGAAAGCGTTCACGTGAAAAAAAGGATTAATATTTATCACTATCTAAAAGCGTTCAATTAGCCGAGTGATTGGACGGAATTTACGGCATGTCCTAGTGATTAGCTGTCGGATTGTTTGGACATAACATGCAGTAAATTATTAATATCTGATTTTTAATAGTAAAACATGATAGTTTTCATTTATATTGTAAAAATTCAAATAAAAACGTAACAAATTTAATTTAATGCAACAAATAGAAGAAACAAATTATAAATAAATAAAATAATAAAAATGATGAACTATACAGGCTGGGGCAATAACTATATCCACTCTGAATATTGCTGTTCTTTGTAATAATATGAAAAAATGTAGTGACATAAACATATTCTGCGTGGGTGAAGGCATAGAGGAGATTTCAAGGTCATCTCTATTTTTCTTAATGGAATGCAATATTTTTTTTATCGCAATGTGATAGCCGGTGTTGAGACGACTTCAGCGAGCTATCATGGAAGGTCATGCAAGGTCAAATGTGGTAGTAAAATAAACTTTCTTACATTGCAGGAGATGCTCGAAGTGGTGACCGTTTGCGTCAATGCAAATTTGCAATCTTCGTATCGTTGCATCACGTGCATGTCTTATCGTTTCTGAACTTATTCTAGCACATGCTGCAATTATGATTTATTAAAAGAAAAGGGTTTTATTAAAAAAAAGTTGGTATCAATTCTGGAGACTTTAATAAGTTCAAGAAACCTTCACTTAATGGAGACAGACGAATTATTTATTATTTACGAGTTTAAGAAATGCGCTCTCAAGTTTATGATTGCTAAATGATAATATTTTTTTTAAATAATACATCGCGCTTTTGCAAACATTTTTATATGATTTATGATAAGAAATACCTAAGGATAATTATTTTCTATCCTGAAGTTCGATATTATTTAAAAAAAATTTAATATTGACAAAAATTCACGATAATTGTCCAATCACCAGGATGTGTCCAACAACTGGGACATTTATCTTACTACAGTTTAAGTGAGCCAACAACTCCCATAAGATGAAAAGTCTATTCTTAAACCTCATCGGTGCCTTGATCCTGAAAGTGTTAAACAAACGTGTCCATTTCCATTCAATTTTCAATAACACCTTACAACGGCCAGCAACGATTTATCCACAGATAAAGTGTGCTAATCAATTAAACGAATGAAACCGTGGCGCAATTAACGAATGACCTTTCATGCCGTGGATCGATTAATCGCGGCCGTAGCGTCGTCGTGCGGTTTTCTTTGCGTCCGTGTTCCGTTCTGTTCTTTATCGCCGCCTCGGGGACTGCGAGGGATCGCGAGCGCACCGTGAGCGATACCATCGAATGATCGATAGCGTGGAAAATGATCCCCCGCGAGCACTGCCATTCATCGCGGTGAAAATAATTAAACGGACGACTTTGGATTTACAGTAATACGGAAGTGGCCGGTGGATAGCAGCGCGCGCGCGCGCGCATCGTCTATCCAATGACGTCGCCGATACACTCGCAACGGCTTCGATTATGGTACCAATTTCGAAGGAACCGAATAAATCGCGCTCATTTGTTTCGTGCCGCCGTATTAGGCTGGCCAGACGGCAACGCGTTAATGGAAAGTATTCGTATGGAATCCTCGGGGTCAGGTTCGGATCATTTGGTGAACGAGGACGAATGCAATAACGCGTGCGCCAGATTCTACTTATTAGGTTGACGGGAAGACAGAATGACCGTTTAATCTTTTTCCTGTCTTCGAGGGGACTAGGTAATCGTTTTTCATTTATTTATAAGAAAACCAAAAGCAAGTCCAGATGTATCCTTTTACCCAATGTTTACTACTATTATAAGGTTTTAAAAAAAAGAAGGTATGAAATATATACAATGTGCTTTCTGAATGGTGGTGCAGCTGGTAAACATTGCAACGTTTTTCTGCGGTTTTGCCCCAATATCTTCAAAAGTGACGTAATTCAATTTCACAAGGTTGTTAGGACTGTAGTTCCCCGCTGAATCTAAAAAATCAAAATAAAATTTTTAAATTGGTGGTCCCAAAACGACGATTTTTTCAAGAAAAGCTCGTCCCTGTTTGTGTACTACTAAAAACTCGTGACTGTTTAATTTTTTTTTTAAATCTCGAATTTTTACAGACTATATCAGTGGTTCAGCGGGAAATGGCACATGTTTTACACATCCTGTCATTTTTTCAAGTCGATTCCTGTGCTTCAAAGAGTTAAGGTTATCATTACTTGGGTTATAATTGTTAACAATATTGTAAGTCTTTGATTGTTTTTATGTACTGAATGAATAAATGGTCTGAAGATTTATAAAGGTTCCTCGTGTTAGGTTCGACAATTAATTAATTCATAATCGGATGAGCCGGAACAAGTTTAAAAAAATTTGCATAAACATTTAATTTGGGGTCAACTTTAGACTTGATAAGTTTAAGGCGAATTGTAGTGGTTGCCATTTTGATCTGTACGTGTAAACTGTACAGGCTGTTGAAAAGAGAAGGTTTAACAATTAGAGAGCATATTGTCCTTAACCAACACAAGTGTCTCTTATCACCATATTCATTGGAAGTGAGGGAATAAGAACCGACTAAATAGATAATAGTCTGTTACTTCAGTGATAACTGAAATCAGCAAAATTGTACTACATACATATGTAATAATAAAATCAGAGTTAGTCAATCATTTGTTTATTCTTCTCTGTGAATAATATTAGCCTTCAGTAACATAGATTTTTTTTTAATGTTCTGTATATGTACTGTGACCTATTTTGGCAGCTAACCAAATCAAAGAGAAATATTTATCTCAGGTGAAATGCAGTGTTTGCGATTGGATCCTTCTGTACTCTTGTTACGCAATCTTAGTAGATGATCGAGCAGTTGAAACAGTGGGAGTTAATTCGTTTTACTAAGATAACGTTGTTTTGTATTGCAGCCCTCCCGGAGATGCCTGGAGCAGGTTGGCAACGATGGTGAACCTGCTGGAAAAGTTGAATTATCCCAAATCGATCTTGATCCAGGCCAAGGACGCGGAAGGTCGACATGATGGTGAGTGCGATTTAAATAAATCAGTCTATTTTCGTTACAAAAGAATATAAATTTCCATTTTAAGAGTGTAGAATTGTTGAGTAGTAAGTATTTTTTGAATCACCATCAAAGTGACAATTTTTAAGTTAATGTACCATTGTGTATAATACAAGAGAACCTCTGTTATCCGAACTGGGATAGTATTTTGAATGTATTAATACCTTGATTATATGGACCCTGTTTATTTAAATACCTTTCGTTTCTCAAGAAACTCAGCTCACGGTCCCGAAGTGACCAACAACCGAAAGATTACCCTGATTTTCGCGCCCTCGTCTCAAACCACTTCATCGCTACTTGTATTCATCATTGCGTACCTCTCTCCCTCTCTATACATGCCATATCCAGTCCCTCGACAACTTGTCATTTCGACATTAACCACCGTTACTGGCAACTCTGTTGCATTCCACGGTCAACAAGAAACGAAACGAAAAGAAAACGAAAAACATAGAAAGAAACCACAACGCGCGCGTGTGCATAACATAAAGCCGCGTATTCACCAAGCTCGCAAAGGCTCGTTCTAGTGATGGGCACCATCGACTGAAAACTATCGACTACGTCGATAGTAACCAACTACTACTTTCAGTCGACTAATTTTTTAAACCATCGACTAATTCAGTTGACTGAAGCAGTCGCTTCAGACGACTCGCTCGAACTATCAAGCTATTGACTGGATCTTGATTACTTAATTTTTCCATATATATTCTTATGCATTACCTTGTAAACTAATCTTTCAAACTTCTCCGATAAAGTCAGATCGTTAATTGTTTAAAAAAACTTGTTTACCACTTATATTTTTGAAATTCTATCTACAAACTAATAAATTTGTAAATGGTAAATACACCAATGATGCTGAGAATTTGATGACATAATCTATACATAACCACTAATGCAAAATTTCAGTCGACTAAAAACTAACGATTAAATAATCGATATTATGTTGCAACTAAATAGTAATTAGTCGATAGTTTAATTTAGTCGATAGTGCCCATCACTAGCTCGCTCGTGTTCAACTGAAATGCTCGCCCTACGTCCACACTGGAACGAATTCATTTCTGCTCGGAATTGATCCGAAAACTGACCACGAGCAGATTGTGATATAATGAATAGGCAAAAATTTGTTAGTACAAGTGTTGCTTTTATTGTGCTGAAGTTAAGTGCAAAAAGTAAAAACAAAGAAAACAAGATAAACGATGGTAGCAAATTTCATTGTTTAAAAACAGATCACGATATAGTTAAAGCCATTTGTTAAGGAACTTGCAGGAAGAAGAAGGATATGAAATGTTTCGAAATTTCTACAGAATGTCGACCAAAGAATTTGAAAAATTTCTACAACTTGTTGAACTAAAAATAATGAAAACTGACACAAACTATAGGAAAAATATTCTATGATTCTTGGCTACAGTAAGCCTCTATGAGTTTACTAATGTTTTCAGTACACCATTCTATTTTTATTTCACACGGAATAGAACGTTCCTGGGCAAAGCAGTCGAATGCAACAAATGACTGTCTACACCAGACGTGTGAAATAAAAATGGAACGATGTAATGTAAACATTATGAAACTCATAGAGGTTGTCTGTAGCCAAGAATCCTAGAATATCTTTCCTATAGTTTTCCTTATTTTTTGTTCAAGAAGTTGTAGAAATTTGTCAAAATCTTCGGTCAACATTCTACAGAAATTTCGGAACATTTCATATCCTTCTCCTTCCTACAAGTCCCTTAATAAATGGCTCTAACTATACCGTGGTCTGTTTTTAAACAATGAAATTTGCCACCATCGTTTATCTTGTTTTCTTTGTTTTTATTTTTTGCACTTAACTTCAGCACAATAATTCGTTCCAGTGTGGACGTAGGGTGAACATTTCAGTTGAAGACGAGCGAACCCTCGCTTGGTGAGTATGCGGCTTAACAAACGTTCTTGGAGTAGCACCGGAGAGACACAGCTCCAGGGACGGTTCTCGTGACGATTACACGATTCAGCTGTACAGTACGCAACGGGCAGTCGATCATCGTGAACGAGCGTTCGAGAGAGAACAGAGTCACGAGCGAATCCGTGTAATCGAATGTAAGTCGATTAGTAATCATAGTAATCCGCGGCGCGGCGGCCGATTTGACGTTCGACGCATATCGATGGGCACGATCGATTCTCAAGCGCGGACGACCAGGGGCCCCCCGACATTCGGGAGGGTCGGGACAAGTGGACTGGGATAATTACTGTAATTGCGGCCCGGGAACCGATCGATCTGCTGTTAAGGCTAGTGATCTTTAGGGTAAGGCCCCTTCTGGATAAAAAAATCGGAGTAGTAGCGTGATGCCCCCCCCCCTTCTCCCCACCGCGGTACGATCGTCTGTTCATTAATGCATAATCGGATGGGCCGGAACACGCCTAAAGGGTACCGCGATGTGTAATATGGCGTGTCGTGGTCGCGCGGGGACCTGTTCTTACGACGATTCAACGATTTTAATGGAACGTTTCGGACGGAGTTTACTGTAACTACGTAATGATACAACCGGAGAGGTATTATAAATATATAACCGCGAGTCACGTAACCGTATTCGATCGTGTTATTTCGTAATAATTCTTTTTTATGCGTGACTCTTGGAGTTTGGCTGCGAGGAATGTGGATAGAAGCTCTGTATACTTCGACGTAGGATTGTAATGAGTTAATGGTTCCAGGACAACATTTTTTCAATAGTATATATTTCTTCCTTCTATGTATTGTAAATACACTACCGGGAAAAAGTATGGGACCAGGTCTGATAATTAACGAAAGAGAAAAATATTATTATATTGTAGATAGATTTGATAAATAGCAATGTGCTGGGACTGATTGGAAATTATTTGTGCATTACTAATTCCGTAACTTTTCCGTAACACGACGAACAATATCGTAATTTAGTTGAGGTGTTTTAATCCACCTATAATATTCATCAGACCTTGCTTCACCTCATTTTCATTCATTCCGATCATTGCAACATTCTCTTAATGGTAAGAGAAAACCTCGCCGCAAATATGGCCGGTTAAAGTGAGATCGAATAGGAGAGAGGCTACGGTATTTTCATTTTATTGTGACATGTGAAATTGTCATGTCTAGGCCAATAGTCATATAGGCCAAAAAAGAAACGCGATATTTCTGAAAATGTAACTTTTATTCAATCGAAATACGCACCGTCGTCTATTATGATATCGGTATTATGATATATTATGTGTAAACTACGGACGTTCAGGCAAATTCACAATTTCCGAAACTAATAATTAGAACTTAAAACTGAGCAGAATGTTCAATTCTGTACTAGAAGCTTTACTAGATTGTCTAGCAATAACACATTGAAAGTATCAAACTTTACTCAAACCTTTAATTTGTCGAGTTTTCCACGTTAGAAGACGCTGTGAATGCATAGACATCCGCGATCTAATGATATGTGTATAATATCGACCAAAACACAGTGGAACCTCGATACTTGTAAACGAACGTAATCCGTACCATTCCACCGAAAGACTACAAACCCAAAGAAATAAAATGAAAATAACAGTAGAACAGGAACGATAGATCTGAAATTCAAGTAGACGTCTCACCGATTCAATCTAACACCTCGATATTCAGAAACGTCAGGACGCTTGGCATGCATCCTCGGTCCCGGTTTTAACACAACAATGGAGATTCTCCTACACCTGACAGCGAGTACCGTCGTCGTGAAACGTGGCTCGGTCCGTAACAATGTCACCGTAATAATTCTCGATCAAACAGCACCGTCTCGGACGTTAATTACAAGCTGTCCGGCAGCCGGCTGCTGCTGTAATTCCTGAGCAAATATCTCAGGCAGCCGGGCCGCGCGACGATCCCCCGCGATAAACAGCTCGGGATCCTCCCCACCCGACGCTGGACCAGTCCTTAATCGAAAAACTTAAGTTCCTCGAACGGTGAAGCCCCTGCCCGTCTGTTGACCCGTGGATAGCCGCCGGTTACGTAACGGTGAATCCGTTCGATGTGACCACTGCAGTGCCATACGCTCGCCGGGCCGTTTACAAGTCGCCAGCCAATGGTCTCGCGGCGTGTATCTAGGTACCACAGGCCACGCCGTGCTACTGTGCCCTCTGCACTCGCTCTCTTTGTCCCTTTCTGTATGCATCTTATGGAACACACAGAAATTGCCGGTCGTCCTAACTCCAGCTGATTTAGGCACGCGGTCTGGCGATGGTTTTTCATGATGTTGGAAATATTGAAAAACTTTGTGCAGATTTTTAGCAGCGGTAAATTTAGAGAAAATTTTTCTTAGTACAGGTACAGACGAGGTATATGAGTAAATATTTCATCTTATGTTGGTGGCCCACCTAAATTGTAGTACCGACACCTTAAAAAGCCTATGATTTTAGCGACCTCTATGTTTTGAGAACGGTGAATCTGTGGTGGGTAGTGACACTAAATAATGATTTTAGCGACCTCTACGTTTTGAGAACGGTGAATTTGTGGTGGGTAGTGACACTAAAAAATGATTTCAGCGACCTCTACGTTTTGAGAACGGTGAATCTGTGGTGGGTAGTGACACTAAATAATGATTTTAGCGACCACTACGTTTTGAGAACGGTGAATATGTGGTGGGTAGTGACACTAAAATGGAAATGGGGTATGTAACCCTAGAAAAGTGGGCCGCAAAAATACATTGGATGAAATGTCTACTCATATACCTCGTCTGTGGTACAGGCAATCCTCCTGTAACACTGCATCTTCATAACATGATTTGGTTCTAATAGTGTTAAAGAATTGAGAAACCACACCGAATAACATGGTAGTCCTAGAATACCGGCTCGCTAAAACATGATTCAAGATTTCTTTAAAATAGTGTAATTTTATTAGTTTTTGGAAGCTAATTCTTTGTTTGTAGATGTATGTACATATTAGTTCCCTCGTTTCTGTATAGTGATATAATTTTTCATTTGTTTCGATCATGAATTGTTAGTAG